TCTTTTCTCCAAATATCCTTGATCTCTTGCATCAGTGTTATGTGGACAGGAGTTATAAATTATGCTGTTAGAAGCTACGACAAGGCATTTTCTGCAGCATTCTCCTTACCTATTTTGCACCCAATTTCATAATCTAATTCCGTAAGTTGAAGTGACCTCCTTAATTGACTACTCCCATCCTTTGTTCAAGTATTTAAGACTATGATGATTCCCACTGATTATAAACTTACTGCCCACAAGGTACTGCTGCCATTTGGATACTGCAATACAATTGGAAGCAACTCCTTCTCATCTACTGACAGTAGTTAGTTCTTAGGAGAAAGACTTGCTGAGGAAAGCACTAGAATGCCCTTTTCCGACAAATATACTCCAATACTTCTTGACATGCATCTGTTTCCACTATGATTTGAGCGTATTGGCTAGTATCAGGTTAATAAAAAATTGCAGATTCTAGCTAAACCACTAACCGAGATGCTAAAGATTTACAGGTTATAGCAGCAAGATGGGAAGTTCAGTCATTTGAAGTGTTTAAAACTGTTCTTACTCAGGCAGTTGTCTTGGCTTTACCAATTTATAGTGAATTGGTTTTAAGGCCATGTTTTTAATTAGACAGTGGATGTATCATCATAGGTTGGGAGGGAGGATCACTTTATTGGGTGGGTCGTCTGTTGATTGTAGGTATTAGTGACTCTTCTTATTCTAAGGTTTCGTGAACAAAAAGATTGTATTGGATGTGATAGGCAGTAAGAGTAAGGTTGATGATACACCATGATTAGTACATCTTTCTGTATCCGAGCTAATGCATATACATGATGGACATTTGAAGGGAGTTAGGCTCTCACTAGTGCTTCCAGATATGGTTTTAAACTAGCCCAGAAATGGGTTAGTTGGTGTGCATTTGGTAATGAAACTTAAACAAGACAATAAAAAAATTATCAAAATATTCTTACTGAGAACCAATCTGCCCTAAATTTGTAAGTTCGACAATTGGGTCATAATGGGGTGTCTCTCCAAATCTAACATTCAAATATACCAAGTAGTATCCCCACCTAGACCACTTCTTGCTCAACCTACTTTTCAGCAATTTTTACTTTCTTCAGCATCAAAATATTTTTGAGCCTTCTACACCTAAACCTTAAGGTTTTCTCCATCAAACCACGAAAATTCCTGCTTAGGTTTATGCAATCTAAAATATCCGTATTGTTGTTTTAGTTTGACTCTATACTGAGTTGCTCTCTTCCTGCAAGGCAATTCCTCTTGAGACTCCTCGACCTCATTGCCATTCTAGGCCCCTTTGTGGTTACCATTTTGATTTTTGTGTTATTTCATTCATATTGTCTCTTCTTTTCTGGGTAAATCGGTCTGACCCTTTCTCTAGTCCTTCCAGTTGTCAAAGAACTCATCCAATTGCCTATACTTTTGTAATTTTGTATTTTCAGAGACCATTGGTCCTCTACTGCTGCCCAAACAAAGGTATAGGGGAAAATTTTATTAGAAAAGAAATACGGAGAGAGATAGAAAATACAGATAGAGGTTGGAAAATTTTTGTACATTCATCTATACTGTTACTACTAGGAATACCTTGAGATTGAGAATCCGTAACTTAAGAACAAAAATTACTTCCTAATTATGCATGTTAGGGCTAATATACGAATTAAAAGTAAGAATTGACGATGAAGTTATAGCTTAAAAACAAAAAAATATGTTCTAATTATGCATTTTATGACTACTATAAAATTAGAAGTAGGAATTGATAAGAAATTGGATAGGAATTGCACCAATAGGAACATTAGGTTCTTAAGTTACACTTACCACAATCCCAACCTGAATCCTTGATATTAGGAACTCAGTTCCTAGGTTTTATTAGTGGTATTTCCGTTGTTGCTGACTAAAGCTATTTTCTTCCTCCAACGAGGATCATAATCCACATGTCATTCCCCCTCTTGATTCTTTGCAGAACCTCAATTTGTTGAAACTAACCACTAAAATGAATTCTAAATACACTAAAGTTTTCACAATATGCTTCTTTCTACCTGCTTAGCTTCACAATATGCTTCTTTCTACCTGCTTAGCTTGAATTTCCTCAATTGACCCTGAAATAAGTTCAAATAAGCAGCCAAATGACTCAATGAAAAGCTGCTCGTTGGTTTTCAGCCTTGGCCTTGAATCTATTTTATGCAGAAATTATCAAATTCTAAAACTAATATTTCAGCGTCAGTGTAACCTAAACGTGGAAGTTGATTCACATGTTGATGTGCAGGTTTTTCTATGCCATTCTTTCACGTGGTTATCAAACGGAACAACTGCCTTCTTCATTTTGGAGATTTTCAAGATACAAGACAGAATAATTTGGCTTTTCAGGTTTCAAGCATTCCTGCTTGAATCGCACATTGCTTCTCTCAAATATAAAAGGAAAGAACAAAAGAAGAATTTGAATTAGTTTCTAGTAGAACTTTTACAAAGATGAACCAGAAACAAAGTCATAGTAAAGCTCTGATGGTATATGTTAGCCACGTTTATGTTAGAGATATATATACCCTTTCTTTTCTCGAAGGGGAGATAAACCTTCATTTTGGATATGCATTAGAGATATGCCCTCTCCTCACATGTTCTCATCACATACATTTTTGAAGTTTACTCGAAGATATCAAATTTTATTTGGAATTACTCTTTTGAGCTCAATTATAGTGCTCTAAAAGGATTATATCCTATATATTTATTCACAGAGAGTTCATGTTAAATACACACTCATTATTTGCATTTAGCAATAAATATATCAATTCAAATTAATGATAATGTATCAAAATGTAGATTTAGTTGCACTCTTTGATGTTGAGGCAGTGGTTTATGCTAACAAAGAAACTACGTAGCATAAACTTTTAAGGGCTGTGTATGGATGGTGGAGATGGAGGGAATGAAAAGAAAGAAAGAAAAAAAAAAAAAGAAATTAAATGAGGAAATGAAGGAAATTTTTTATTTTAATCTTCCGGTTTCCTCCGCTCTTTTATAATTTGAATTTGAAATTTTCATAATTTTTTTGAGTAAATTTGAAGGAAAACGAATGTGACTTCTCACAGTGACCTTAATAGCAAGAAGATCTATCAAGTTGTTGTCAGGTGCCTGCTCCACCTCCTCTGTATTTTGATTTAGCACTAAATCGTTTATCATTATGAATTGAACTATTATTATTCAATCTTTACATCATGTTATCTTCGTATTAATCCATATATGTGACATAATAAAATTAATCTTACCAACTGATGTCGGTGTAGGTGTAGTAGGAATCTCATAGATGCCTGTTTAAAGTCTGAACGTAATTCATAGGTTTTGAAATTCCAAAAGATTAATTCATTATTTAATTAGCGAATGCAATAACTTGACTCGCATAGCCATTCAATTCTCACAATGTGACCCCATGTGTATATATAAATATGTTGGGTGTTGGAGAGCTAACAGAAGATGTCACTACCCATGTGCCACGTTCATGGGCCTCCCTCAAGACATGGCTTAACATATGGTGTACTCTAAACTTAGACTTTTAGTATAATATATTAATACAAATATGAAAGCTGACTTAACATATAGCACCCTAAACATGACTTGGGATTTAACATTAATACAAAATATAAAAGCTGACCTATATGATGAGCTGATACCTTATCTTTAATGATTAATAAGTCTTATTCTTTTATTTTAAATTAGTATTTCTTGACAAACAAGGCGTAAGGTACTACCAAATACACAGTGATTGCATGTAGTTGCAATCATAAAAATAGTATCTATATGTATAGAATAAAGTTGACTTTAATTTTCAGTTACAGAATCTTCTATCCGTTTGTTTGGTCTAGCCAGCCATAGAAAACTACGTTTTAGATGGTAGTATAATATGCGTTAATTTTCTAGCTTGTAAAAAATACAACTGGATTTGGTAATAGTTTAATTGCATGTTTGGCAACTTGCATGTCAGAATGTACTATTACGTACCACGGAGGTGCTTCAGCTAAAGTCTAAAAAGAGCAACCACTTATCATTTATATAAGTTTATGAAGTTTGATTTAAGTTAAACTTCTGTAAATTAATGGCACAGTAGTTAAATCAAACCAAAAAAAAAAAAAAAATTCTTATTCGCAGTTTATTTTTAAACCATTAGTTTTAATGAAAAAACTATAAAACCTTAATGTTTAAGGAATAATAGTTTTCAAAAATATAATGTAATGACTTTAAAGTAATTTCAAATAATTTTAAAAAAAAAAATTAATTTGCACTAACATAACAAAAGAAAAAGAATACAAGTAGATCTGTCATCTTTCTTATTTTTGGTTTTCACATACCACATCAAATTAATGAGAATGATTAATTTGTCATTTTCTTACTTGAATGGAAAACGAAATGGTGTTTGTTCCTCCTTTTTCCATAAGCAGGTGTGATCCTACATTAATCCTGTTCTTTTGAGGGTATCATTGTCTATATAGCTATTTATATTTATAAATTTTAACTAAAAATTAGCCCTTCAACCGTATGATACAATCATCTATACATTTTTTTTGGCATCGGATACTTTAAGGTTTGTTCGGATGGTCAGATTGTGTTTTGAGTTCTGTTTGAGAACTTTTTCACTAATTGATTTTGCAGAGCAATTTTAAAGGTAAATTTCTCGTATAATGTGTAATATTAATTAAAATTCAAACTATACTGTTTTTTCTTTCCAAAGTTCTCCTTACCGTAATAATAATATTTTTAATGGATTAAAAGAAGTTAAGACCGCCGCCATTGGAGCACATGGTATTGGTTGTTGGAGGTGGGGAGATGAAATTCTCAGTCAACGTTAATTGTTCAGGGAGAGTACCGCAATTTCCATAATCAATATTTTATAAGCTCACCAAATCCTTAGGAGCTACTATATAAAGGCTAGAACACGAGAGTAGGTTGTGTTAACCCTTCAAGTTTAGCTTCTTATCTTGGGTTAAAAGGGTTTTTTTTCCAAAAAGAAAGGCATAGAAAAAATGAGTAGACTTTTTTGTTTAACTAGTTTGATATTGCTTTTAGGTATCTTTTCAACTGAACTTGGCTCAGTCTCAGCGGCTTGGCTGAAAGCCCATGCAACTTTCTATGGCGGAAGTGATGCTTCCGGTACAATGGGTAAGCACCCATGTCCATTTTCCTCCCCTCTTTACCTTCTTTAACATGATTATAATTTTATTAATTGTATTGTTTTTTGGACTGATGTTGGGATTTTTCAGGTGGTGCATGTGGTTATGGCAATCTGTACACAGATGGCTACGGAATCAAATCAGCAGCACTGAGCACAGCTTTGTTCAACGACGGCAAGGCATGTGGTGGGTGCTATCAGATATTCTGTGATGCAACCAAAGTTCCTCAATGGTGTCTGAAGGGAAAATCCATTACCATCACCGCTACAAATTTCTGCCCACCAAATTACAATCTCCCAAGTGATAATGGAGGGTGGTGCAATCCCCCTAGACCTCACTTTGACATGTCTCAGCCAGCGTTCGAGACCATAGCCAAGTACAGAGCTGGAATTGTACCAATCCTATACAGAAAGTAAATATAACCATACCATAAGTACATCCATTTTTTACTTTTTCTTTAGGAGTATGATTAAACGAGGGTTGTTTTGTGGTGTATAACAGGGTTGGATGCAGAAGAAGTGGAGGAATCAGATTTACCATAAACGGAAGGAATTATTTTGAGCTGGTTTTGATATCAAATGTAGGGGGAGCTGGAGAGATTTCCAAAGTTTGGATAAGAGGATCAAAATCAAATAAATGGGAGGTTATGTCAAGAAACTGGGGAGCAAACTGGCAGAGTCTGAGTTATTTGAACGGCCAGAGTTTGTCTTTCAGGCTCCAAGCTAGCAATGGCGGGATTCGTACAGCTCTCAATGTGGCGCCTAAGAATTGGCAGTTTGGACAATCCTTCAAATCCAATGTCCAATTCTAAATCATTTTCCTGGATCCAAAACAAAATAGCTCCAATCATTGTCTTCTTTGAGAAAAATTTACTCTCTTCCCTTTGTTCTTGTTGGTTAAGTCTTTCAGTGTATTTTAAAGGTGGTGGTGTTTGGGTTGTGGCTTAGCGTCCTGCAGAGAAGCCCACCTAAATTTGTATTTGCCTCCTCTTTTTATGTTTATGGGGGCAGAAAGTTGCATGTAACAAGTCCATTACGATGTCGTATAATCAAATTATTATATATTTTTAATTTTATTTTCATTTGCCATTGACCATAGAATTTAAAGATAAACTAATTAACTGTACATGCAAAAAGAGTACGAAAAATTAATCAAACCCAAATAAAAAGCTTTTGTAAATTTCAAAAATGTTCCAAATTTTCTTTTAGGAATAAAAAGCAAGAGAGGTAGTCAAATGACCGTGGTTGTGACCTTAGAGATACTATTTTCTATAATGAATATAGTTTGATATGGTATATTACTGAATAATCTGATATAATTCTATATTAACACAGTGATATTTATAAATATTAAATATTAACTAACTATATAATACACATCTATTAATTATAATACAATAAAAATAATTTACAAATAATAATACACACAAAAACATAATACAAGTCAAGTCTACTACCCTTTGTAGAGAAAGGGGTACATCACCAAGGAAACAAACTAGGGATCCATTTTGTTAGAAACCTACTTGAACTGCCAAGTACACCGGGGTTCAACCTTCATAAAAATTTAGATTAATGTCAACCACATCAATTTCAAAGATATTCTATTATCATAAAGCCATCTAATCTCTCAAAAAATGTACACAAGTTACATCAAGAATAACTGTATGAACCATAACACTTTTTGCAGCAATGCGTCTTTGCATTGACTAACCAAACATCCTGTAGACACAAGAAAGCATATCATAACTAATTGACAGACAGTGGCTACAGATGCAGAGCATAGCCATATGTCATCTCCGCATCACTCGGTTCCTTTCTCGTTTGCGGAAACGTTCTAGCATGAACTCATCTGTTGCTGCTTGTCTAGTTTTCCCTGCATCTGAGCTACTAGTATCAGTGGGTCGAGGGCCAGCATCATCATCCTGTGAACCTCTGTCCTTGTAGAGCTCTGGATGTTCTGCAAGTTTCTCAAATATAGTCAG